GGGGGTGAGGGCGGTTGGGGGATGCCCTGTGGTTTAGGGGAGTGTGAGGGGAAGGTGAGCTGTGGGGGTGTCTGACGTCTGAGGGGTGGCTGAACTGATGGCTGCTCTCCCTGCAGGGAAGCCGACCCTGTACGGCAGTCTGACCCGCCGCGGGCTCAGTACTGAGGGCGTCCCTGACATCGCTGCCTCCGAGGGCTTCGTGGTTGGGGAAGTCACCAAGGTGCCAGGGCTGGGGTGGAGCGGGGGTCAGTAACCGCCTTCCACACACAAAGGGGCGATATTCTTGTGCCAGCCAAAATATCAGCCTAAAGCTGTCGCCCGGTCCCCTGCATGGTCCTATCCAGCGATCCCAGGCCTCCCACCTGAGCAGTGCCCTAGAGCTGGTCCGTAGCATCCCATAGTCGGGCTGGGGTTGTGCATCATGGCTGGGCAGGCCCTAGTGGCCATCCCTTGCTACCCGGGGCTTGCATTTTGAGGAGGCGTAAGGAGACGAGCCCAATGCTGCACCTTCCATCAGTCTTCAGGCTGTGAGAGACCACAGCCAGGTCCAGATTGTAGTTCTACCTTGGCAGCCTCTGTGTTTCAGTAGGACTAACAACACTTCTAATTCTTTTTCTCCTCTCTTTCCTCCTCTAGAAAAGCATTCTCATATCTTGTCCTCACGAAAATGTGTCTACAAAGTTCCTGGCCCCGTACACAACTTTTTGTAGAATTCATCAGAAAAGTGTAAGTAACCTTGTGAAGTGAGTGGGGAAAAAACTGGAAGCGATTGTGAACTTTCAAAACGTCTCCGACTCTTGTGTGCCCGTTCTGAGGGTGGCCTGCAGCATGACTTTATATGTGAACTAGGTAATAAAACATGTTATAGAAACTTGGAAACTTGGTCATGGTTAAGTTTACCCCTCAAAAGTAATCTCTAAAATTCTTTAGACTGTTTTCTTGCAAATGATCTAATTTCTGCTCACTTCAGGCCCATGACGGATCCCCCTGTAAAGGAATAAATGTGTGAATTAGTGTGTCAAAAACCAAGAAAAAAATAAGAGGTTCCAGGCACTGAGCTCTTCATCTTTCCCTGGTTCAAATCTGTCCCTGGTTTGTAGCGGCTATTTGCTCCCATGTAATGAAGTTGTCTGTCTTTGATATTTGCTGTATGAATTTCTTTTTGTGGTGCTGGGAATTGAGTGTTGCATAAACTCATCTGACCTGGTGGGAATTCAGAGACCAGAAAGGGCCCAACTTGTATTTAAAAAAGAAATAAATTGCGTGAACTTCTCACTTAAAAGCAGTCCTGCTCGTTTTGCTGAATAATCTTTCTTATTGCATCCCGATCAATCTGGGGGTGCAACAAGTACTGCTTCTCACTGAACAGTGATACAGAAAGGCTGATTCTTGACCTGATATTTCATTTCTTCACTGATGAGAAGTGCAGAACTTGGCTTTGCTGGGAAGTAGTCTGTACTTTTGCTGAACACTTAACCCTACGTGGAAATGATCCAAAAAACGAAGGAGTGTGTAGCCTGCAGGTACAGCCAGCTGCCCTAGAGGGGGTCCCCTGAAGGCTCCTGGAGATGTTTTAGTATAGTTGTCTCATGATTTATTGAGTATATTATTGTGATAAACCCAGCCGAAAATGCTGAAAAGTCAGTCTCTATTTATGAAGCTCAAAAGCAGTATAAATCAAGGTGCGTTTTGACATAAAAGCAATTCTGCATCTCTACAGCTGTTTTAAGAGGAAGCGGGGCTCTGCTGAGAGACGGAGCTTGGCAGTAAGGCAGCTCCGGAGACAGAGGTGAATCACTTCTCTGAGCTTTGTGCTACTTAAGAGTCCCCAGCTGCCCTTTTGTGTGATAAATGGAATCAACATTCAAAGCACAGCAAAATGGAAATGCCGGCGTGTTTAGTCTGCTGTCAAACGGGTGTGATGGGTTACAGCTGCACTGCAGATCTCTCCTCTGGAAAGCAGCTGAAGCAATATCTATTAATATGTAGATGAGTTTAAAGTCTGTGTGGACTAAGCTCCAGTTATCCTTTTTACCTGCTGCCTCTTGTTCTGAGCACTCAGGCCTTGCCTGTTTACATATCCCTCCTGAAAGTTTGGGGATATGTCAAATGTCAGTACGGCTTTTAGTTCCTGCCTGAATGACCTTCACAGGCTGGTTTTTTTTTTTTAATTAGGGAGGAAATTACCGGAGATTGGCTTGTTAGATAAAATGCCACTCATGTTACCAATATATTTCTCACGTTACCAACGTGTAAGTAAATGTACTTAATGGTTGTTGTAGCGGCTAAACCATTACCTTGTGCTCTTATTTAAATCTTTTAATTTCTGTTTTAATTCCCAATTATTATTTTTTTCAAGTGGAGGTTGAGTATTGATCCTGTACCCTTTTAAAATTAGCTGTGGTTTGAGCTATCAGAGCTTTTCAGGAGAGCAGTTTGGTCTGACTCTTGCTTGGATAGCAGAACGTATGACTGAAGTGTGGCATATCGTGTCCCCACAAGCCCTGGCTGATGCACGTGCAGCAATAGGATGCCATAGGATGTCCTCCTTAACATCTGGAAACAGCTGGAGATTGATGCAGGTCTGTTATGTACTTGGTCTGCCTGAGGGCATCGTCTTTAAATCTCAGGCCTCTAGCTGTCATCTTTCTTGGCAAAGTCTCTCAATCTACTTGTATCTTTGAGTTTCCCTGTGAACATGGTAGTAAATGCAACTGTCTCTGCAGTCTGGCTGCTGGCTAAGGCTGAAGAGGTTCAACAAAGCCCAGTCCTGTTTGAGAATAGTTAATTGTTCAGAAAAGCATTTAATCTGAAGCCTGGGATGAGCAGCCTCATTCCTTACATACCTGACTAGGTGGTTGGGACCTGCAAGCGCACTGATGGACTGTGCAAGTTAAGACCAGAAACCTGTGCTTCGTCTTGGTGATGAGGGGTTGGAATGGCGACGGAACTGTCATCTGCATTTCTCATGGTGGATCTGCATTTCTCATTTCTGTCAGTGGTTTTTGCCACTGAAGTACTTTCTTCTAATCCACACAGTACAAATACAGTTATTAGGAAGCTTTTGGAGGTGATACAGCATGAGTCCAGTACGCAAATATTGCAAGACAAGGCAGCTATTCCACTACATAGTTGTGGTAGTTTTATTGGTTTTTGCAGGATGCAGCACTAGTGTTAATCTTTGTTGTAACAAAATCTATATCGGTTTTTTTTCAGCCTGTTTAATATTACTCCAATCTATACTGGAAATATCTCTCTCACTTGGAAGATGTAATCGTTTCTTTCAAGGCTAGAATACCTGTTACCTTATTTCATGCACAACTAAAATACATCTGCCTTTCCCAAATGGCAGCAATAATGTCTGGCATCATGGGAAAGGCTACCCTTTTGCAAGAATATAAGCTCAACATCTGCTGTCTTCAAAAGTATTCAGCTCTCCCAGTGTTTATGCAAAGCAGGCAGTTGTTAATACCCTAGTCTGACAGACTGTGTGAGGAGTTAGTCTGCCTGCATAAGGAACTAGTTTTCAGTCAGTGTTTCAGAAAATTTAGGCTGTGCCGTTGACTTCATAAATATCTCAGACAACGTCTTGTGGGCTTGTGAGTCAGCGTGCTCTCAAGCTGGCCAGTTATCTTGGACTAGCATGGAAAGGCTTGGCTCAATTTCTTACCTGTGTACAGGAGTTGCTAGAAAAATCCAGATTTCTGCTTCATCTGGGGTAAACCTGAAATACAACTGCTGTCTGTGCAGGCTCCTGACTCAGCATTTATTTTCCTCCCTGCTTTGCAGATCTCTGCAGAGTCACAGGCAGAGAATAACAATTTCTCTGTCAAATTTGGTGGCGATTACAAGAAATCTGGGGTGCTTTGTGCCAGGTTCCAGTCACCCAATTTGTCTGAGCCCTGGCTGTGGGTCAGCCCAGATCAGCAGCTCGCTCTTGAAGGAGGAATGCAGCAATCTGTGTAAATAGATAAATTGAGAGAAATTATTTTTATGCTGCCTTTGTCCTCTAGAAAAAGCCTGATGCTCAGGATCCACTTGTTTTTTGATTTTTTAAGGGCTTAATTAATTTCTCATAAAACTTACTGAGAGGTTGAGGAGGGAAAGCCTGTGAAGTCCTTGCATAAGGCTATGAAATGTTAAAGACTGTTATCAGGCTGAAACTGTTAAGCTAGGCATATGGATACTCTTTTGGGTGTTTTAAATGAGTCCAGCAGTATGTCTTGGGGAGATGACAGTGCTGAATGGTGTACTTAGCAGGTCTTCCGCAGTGCAGAGTTAGGCTCTTGAGCAGAAATACCTATACACAGGGTCATATAAAGCTAACGTTTGTTTTTTTTACCCTCCTGCAGATTACCTGTCTTGATATTTCCAGTGGTGGAGGGCTTGGTGTGTCTACCAGCACAGATGGGACCATGAAAATCTGGCAGGCTGCAAATGGAGAAATAAGAGTAAGAGCGTCTAGTTTTGATGTTGTGTGTTGTCTGTGACATTACTGAAGTCATTCGGCTGTGACTTTGGTCAGGCTATCCGCACACTGTGGTCTAGGACAGGCAAGAATTTGGCTTTTGATTGAAAAGCTAATTGAAATTTGATGTCTCAGAGGTTTTAAGTCAAATCTGTTGGAAAGTATGACTTCTCCCAAGGGAAATGATGCTCAGCAATCCGGAGAGGAGTCCCAGGGTGAAAATGAGAAAGGGTAGTTAGGAATGACAGCTGGAGTGCAGAAGGTAACTGACAGCTCCTAACCTATGTGGTACAAGCACTGAATTTCTTCTGCAGTAGAGAAGAGGGGAGGAAAAAAGACTTCTGCCTGTGATGGATTAACCACATCATGGCTAGCTGCCTTCCAAGTTAAGGTGCCTCTTGTGGAGCTTGACCTGTCAGCTGCTTGTTTGGCAGATGATGAAGACATTTAACCTGTTATTAGAAACAAATGTAGTATCCTTTGCTACGTAATTAGCTACTCAAATGGCAGAGGGAGGCCCAAAGAGTACCTGCTAGCTCTTTGAGTGCCTCGAATTCAGATGAGTCTGTTGCAGGAACGCAAACCCAGAGGATTTGAGCTTAATCCTCTGCCCACATGGGAACACCCAAGTTTTCTAGTGTCGTAGCTCAAAAACTGCTTGGCGTAAGGGTGATAACAATGGAACTAGCATGTAGTTCTTTGTTTTTCCAGAGACTATTGGAAGGCCATGTGTATGATGTGAATTGTTGCAGGTTTTTCCCATCGGGCCTCGTGGTTCTGAGTGGGGGAATGGATGCCCAGCTAAAGATCTGGTCAGCAGAAGATGCCAGCTGTGTAGTAACATTTAAAGGTCACAAAGGAGGTACAGAGTACTTAGCCTTTAAAATGCTTGATCTTCCATGTGTATAATTGTGTTGCATCTGAGGGCTAATGTTCAGTCACCAGTCTGCTGCACTTTGTGCTGTGCATTTGTATTAGATGTCTGGAGTATCTTTTTCAAGCTCTCAGAACTTGAATGAAAAGATCAGTAGTTGCTGTATTAAACAGCTGAAATGGTTTCTCTCACTGACCTGCATTTTCTTCATTAATTAAGGTAAAAAGAGTGAGGATGCAGCCCATTAGCCTGTTGTGAATGCCAGAGGTGGAGGCAGAGAGTGTTCTGCTCCTCCAGGGCAGTCTCAGCTCTCCAGAGCTCTGATCTGCATTCAGTAGCCTTGCTGCCTGCACTGTACTGGGAATGCCTCCTGCTTGCACCCAGATCATCCTGCTCATCTTCAGTTGCTCCACAGCCTCTTCCTTTTTTTTTTTTTTTCTTGCCCAGAAAAGCATATAGCAGTTTATTATGGACTTGCAGAACTCAGGCAGGCAGTTACTTGCCTCGAGGACGTGTGCTGCTGAAAGTTAGTAAGGCACAGCAAGAGCAGCTGCAAGGATACTTAAGTGATTATTTCTTAAGAAGGGCTGAAATAAGCTTGTTCACCCTTGTACCAGAGGCAGATGTTCAGCTCTGCCCCTGTTGGTAGTCTTGCTGCTGAAAATGAGAGTAAATTCTTCACGCTCCTTATGTCCTCACATAGAGATGCACTGGCCACCTGATGTGGTGAGTTGAATGCTATTCCTTGTGTTCAGGGTCCACACTACAAACTCCTCCAATTGACACTTAGTCTCAGAGAAGAACTGCAAGGGATGGAAAACGAGCCACCCAGAAAGGCTCCCGAGAGCTGTGATCGAAGCAATTTCTGGACAGAGCCTCCGTTAATCTCTGGAAAGAAGATTTGATTTCCAGGACCCCTCGTTCAGAAGCAGTGTGGATTTATACGTAATGCTTAAGCAGGCTCCCATTTTACTCCTGTTTACACCTGGCCCAGAGCACAGTGGCTGGTGGTGCTGTCTTATCATGGTGATTGCTTCCTAAGGGATGCCAACTTGAACGCTTGGGTGATCGTGAGCGAGTCCAAGTGAGCTGTGGATGTGGCATCAGATGCCCAAAACTACCCCGAATTACCTCCTCCCTGAGCAACTAACGTGGCTCTGAACGGGCTCGTTTTCCCTGTCTCACAAGGTGCTAGGCTTTATTAAAAAGGTTAATGTCCTGTGACTGGCTGCCCAAAACTTGATTAACTCAAAAACTTGTTTTGCGCTGAACCTGCCATTGTTCTCATGTGGATTCATAATACTTTGCCACAAATAACCTGTAAACAAAACATGGCAGGCGGTGTAACAGAGCTTTGGTCAGAACAATATTGGCTGGCTCCTGACGGCTCTGAAGTTGACTTTATTTGCTGCTTATAACTCCAGCCCAAACTGCTGCAGTCAGTTTGCTTGGTTTGTCCTGTCGTTTGAGCTTGTCATATTTAATGACTGCTTCTGTGGGGAAA